AGCAGCCAGGACACAGCACTGCCTGGAACTGGGCTTGAGAGCTGATGCTGAGCTGGAGGGCAATGCAGCAGTTTAGCCAAGCCATCTTTAGTGGGCTGTGTGGACCTGTTTTTTCAWGCAAGACACCTGTGACATCTCCAAACCAAAATGGATATGATATTAACGGGCACTAGAAGTCACGGGTACTCCCCATGAACCAAGGGATTCGTGCTTCCTTCACTGCAAGATAGTGTCAGTGCTATGAAAGAAACATACATTTACTGGGCAGGAAAGTGAGRGAGGAAAAACTCAAATTTTCTTGCTGCAATTCTTTTTTGTAGCCCCACATCTTACAAGTCCTACATTTTTCAGATTCCTAAAACCARCTATCTGAAAGCCAGAAGCAGTGGTTTGTCCATTGGGTGTTGGCAYAAAAAGCACAGATATATATCACATAGCAAACATTGTGTAGAAATTGTCCATACAAGGCATGTGGGATGTGCCAGGTTTGAGCCACTTGAAAAAACGCACTTAGGATCACATTATCTCCATGACAACTGTTTGTACGTATTAAAAATTGTTGTGTACTTAAACATAGCTTATGGAAAGGACTGAATAATAGTTCTTCTAAAGAAAGCACTTGTAACACAAGCTGTGCTCCTCAGGGCATCACACCAACAATCAGAAAGCCTAAAGCCTGGCAGCATGAGCTTAGCAGGACATTTCACAGATGTTTATGCTATCTGTTTAAAAAGAAGGAATTTAAGGATGGGCCCAAGTATCTATTGAACTGGGGTCTCTACTCTTAGCTCTCAATGCTTTTGTCATTTCTGTTTGGAAAGTGAGTTAATTTCAGTATCTCTTTCCTCAWCGGGCTGAAATTATGTATGTGTTCATCTGGCCATAAAGTGATAGTATTTGTCCTGGCAGAGGTGGTGTTTGCTAAGTGCTCTAGAGATTAAAACTGGTAGATGATAGGTAGGAGGAACGTGGCCCTATGCTCAGGTGCACAAAAAAAGTACCCACTGCCCCAGTGCTCCTACCCAGCCAGGCTGGACACAGAGTGTTCAGTGCCACACTCATGGGGAGAGAGCACAACACAAAATATTTGCAAAATATTAAGCCCCTAACATTTGAGAATCAGCACTCTATTCCTAGCTTTTTAAAGATTCTTGACTGTGAAATATCTGTAACCATAGTGATTTCAAAATGTGATTTTCATGGTTACTCTGTAATTTCCTCTTTCAGTAAGRCACTGCACTTCCTGCTTTATCTACAACATGAGGGTGAGTGATGAACTAGCAGATTTCAGTAATATGTTTTGTGGTATACAAGATGATTAGTAATGAGATTCTATCTTTTACAGAAGCCATTCAGTTGAAGTAAGTGGGYCTCTGTTGATACTGGTATTTCTGATGTCACTGGTTTTGTCATTTACCATCTGGACTCTGAAATTAGTCAAATATGCGGACATAGTATTTGTTTGTGGTGATGTAACAAATATCTGATGTAAATTCAGAACAATGCTCTGTTTTTCTTTCGGTCTTTTGCAATGGTTCTGCTTAAGATGACAGATCTATCTGACTTCATAGGGACTATTAAGACAGAAAACATATACTTAATCCAGAGTGGCCAGGATCCGAATGTGCAAGAGATTACATGATGTGTACTTCTGACTTTATTTGATTGGGGAAGTCCCCTTCTCCACAGAGGCAGTTGACTTCCACACAAATGTACCAGTGTCTATACTCTTTGCTACAGAAATACACGTATTAATCAAAGGTGSCAGCCCTACATTGAAAGGTGGCAGCTCATTGTTACACTATTGAATACCTTTTTAATTGTATAGTGTAGTCTTTATATTGTACTGCGTAGCCCCTCAATTCTGCATTTAGTATTAAAACACCATAGCAACAGACATTTTGGACGTGCATTGATGGATAATTTAGAATCACTAAAATATTCAGAGAGAGGAAAGTGTGAAGAAAACTAATTTACGTGTTCTTTACTCTACAATACTAAGTTGAGAATACGTTTTGTAGCTGGACAGTGAGATATAAATCTGCATAAATCTGCATTTGAACACTGATGTCTCATAGTACAATGGAGATGTTGGTGTTACTGATAAGATTATTGCAGTTGCTAACACCCTCATCCACGAGYCTGAGATTAATTTCAGACTGGTACAGAATTAATTGGCACTATAGGTGGTTTTGCAAACAGCTGAACAACCTACAGCTGAAAGTGTGTAAACATTAAGTGCAGTCAGCCTGTCCAGTTCACCTCTCTCCAGATGCCACATGTGTGACACATGGGACCCTGACTCAGGCAGCAGCACAGCAGTGTGGCCTCTGTACCCCTGAATCACTGGGGCAACCACACCCAGCCAGCTCCTTAGGTACCAACCACACACACGCCTGGCATATATTCACATACTAAATATGATTTATTACTGCCATCTCACAGGTCACAGTTTAATCTAACTGTGTATCTGAAGCCCTGACAACCCCTGGACTTATGCAACACAGCACGTATTCTTTCATTATTACATTCTCCTTTGAGTGCTCACRTAAATATCAGAGAAAAGCAACTGTGATTCTCTAAACTATTGATTGTCATTCTCAAGCCAGAGGGTAGAAGGAGATCTGATTTCTGATCCACATAYAGACAATTCAAAACAGTGTGAGGATAAAATACAGAGCTACTGCTTGGGATGGAGAGGGAAACCGAACTTCTCCCCTTCTCTGAGTGTCCAGATAAATGAATCTTGCATTTCCTTTGCGGAGTYCTGAATTCTCCTATAGTGAGTGGCACGGCTCCAACTTTCAGCTGCAAGCAGGGAGTGCTGAATCACCTACCCCTTCCCAAGTGGAGTTTGTASGAAAAAGAGCTGTGACTGAGTCTTTTCAAACAACAAGTGCTGCTTTCTTCACCACTGCACTCCTGGGAACCAGCTATGTGGGCTGGGATTGGGAACCATCACAACAGCTCTGAGGAGGGCAGTGATTGTCAATCTGTGAGGAGTCCAGTCTGATCCACACTGCCAGGAAGAAACTTAACCTGGCTTGTTTGCCTACAAAACTAAAACCAAAATCCTGCCATGTTTTATGTGGTGGGTGAGAGGGAAGCACAGCTCACAGTGTGGTCTTCAAACATCTAACTATGCCAAAAAGTCWATAGTTATTAAAGAAAATTAACTTTAGCGTGGCAARTTATACAAGAGTTGATGTTATTGCTTCATTTTCTTTGGATGTATTTGTTCAAGACTATTTTGGGAAGATGTGCTACAGAGTGAATTCCTGAAACCTACCACTTATCAATGAATGGGACTTTTCCTTCTATGACTTTAAGCACAAAACTAAAATCATCTGAAGATGGGAACCTATGTAAGAACAGCAAAAATATTTTGGAAGATAAACAAAACCTGAGTCAGGTAATTCAAATCAACTGATGTCTACCAGGAGAGTATGACACCAAGAAACCGAGACTGACCCGTGAAAGCAAACATTCCTTACTCCTTGCTCACTATGGAATACTTAATTTACTTCAACAGTAGGCAAAGAATTTAACTTGTCAGACTCTGTATTAAGCAGATGATGACCAAGACAATTAACACAAATTAACTAGGAAAAGTCATCGTACCCTCCTGAAATTATCAAATCAACATTTTGTCTAAATTTTGACCCATTTAAGTGAATTATTACTGATCATTTAATGCCTTTTGTAAGTTATGAGGGAAATCTTCCTCTATAATTMAAGAATACAGATTGCAATAAAATATATAATTCATTACAAATTGGTGATGTGTATTTCTTACATTCTTTTTTATTGCAATTTGTCTCTGTCTTACTGACATGTTTTCCCTTAGGTAGCAAGTGTCTGAGTACACAAAGGTAGCTGAGGTCAGCACTAGTTTCCTGAAAAAATACCACCTTCCTGAAAGTTTCCTGGAGGGTCCACCACTAATTTCCTTTACTGAACACTTACACTGCATTTCATGCATTTCTTCTGTCTAAAAAGGTCATAATAAACTCTGGACTTCGAAGAACTCTTTCAGTATAAATTGTTTTAGAGCAATGCAGCACAGCCTTTTTAACCTAAGCACTACAAGGTGGTACAATTAAGATGGTATTCAATGCTCATGTTTTAGAACTGAAAACCTTTATTTCAAAGCACCCAATACCAGCAAGCACCCTCCACTTCTCTGTTCCCGGAGAGACACGGTAACCGGGCTCAAAACTTCAGAATCACAGAATTGTTCAGTTAGAAGGGACTTGTGGAGATCACACAGTACAACCCCTCTGCCAGGGCAGGGTCACCTGGAGCAGGTGACACAGGAACGTGTCCAGGAAGGTTTTGAATATCTCCAGAGAGGRAGACTCCACGCCCGCCCCGGTTCCAGGGCTCTGCCACCCTCAACGTGAATTTCTTTCTCGTGTGGAGGTGGAACTTTTYATGTTTTAGTTCACGGCGAATGCTCCTCATCCTGTCATTGCAAAMACCTTGGCACTAACCTCTTGGCACGCCTCGGAGTTATCGATATATGTTAATTGCAGAGAGAACCAGAAACACTACGGAGCCACACAAAGCATTTAGAGACATCGCCTCCCAACCCCGCAGCAGGCGCTTGACCGGCGGGGACCCTGCCCTGCCGTGCCCCATGGGGAGCCGGCGCTCAGCACCCGGGCCCATGAGGGCCCGCACCGCCATGCCCGCAACCCCTCACGGCGGTGMCCYGGCTCYCGCCTCAGGGCTGAGGCCGGGCGGRSCCRCCCGCGCCCCTCATGCGGAGCCCCTGCGGGTAGAACGCAKCCCCCGGAGGGCGGGACCAGAACGGGGAACAAGAGCCGGGACGGGGCACAGCCACCCCGCGCTCCCCGGGAAGGCGGGCGGRCACTGCCCTCCCCCGCCCCCTCCCCTCAGAGCGCACTCGCGGCCCCGCCCGGGCTCCGCGCAAGCGCCATCGGCTCCCGCGGCGTCCCCCTCCCCGCGGTGGGGCCGGGGCGGTGACGTCAGCAGCGGCGGCCATTACACGGTGCGGAGCGAGGAGCGGCAGCGCTGCCGCAGCCGGAGCGCCCCGGGCCGCCGTCTCCCCGCGCCCGCCCGCCCTGACGCGTCGCGGCCGCCGCCGCTGTGGGGAGCGCGGATCGCAGGGGCCCGCGGGGCGGTGCGGCAGCAGCAGCCGGTGAGGAGGAGGAGGAAGAGGAGGAAGAAGAAGGGGAGAGCGGGATGGAGGAGAAGGTCTTCACCAAGGAGCTCGACCAGTGGGTGGAGCAGCTCAACGAGTGCAAGCAGCTGTCCGAGGGGCAGGTGAAGAGCCTCTGCGAGAAGGTGAGCGGCGAGGGGCTGCGGGGACGCGGCGGGGCCGGGCGGGGAGCTGCTGGCGGGGGCGGTGCCGCGCGGCCGGGCGGGCGCGGGGCTCTCGGGCGGGCCGGGGGCTCGGCGCGGCCCGGCGGGGAGCACGGGCTGGGAGCCGGGGCCGGGGCCGGGGCCGGGGCCGGGAGAGCCGCGGCCCCTCGGCTGTGCTGGAGCCTCGGCTCCGCCTCCCGCCCGCTCAGCGCCTCCTAAAATGGCGCCGCGGCCGCGATGGATCTTCGGGAGAGACCCCCCGAGAGACCCCCCACCCGATTAAAATGTTAAATCAGACCCCAAAAGCGTGAGTTATTGCAGTGAAAATAAAAGCCTGTGGTAATCGGTTGGAAATTACACGCGGTAAAGAGCCGCTGCTTTGATTTATTTTTTGTATGTTTCATTATATGAATAAGCATAGACATATTTATCACTAATTGAAGGGTAAATTAGCTTTGGGGTTTTGGTTTTCCTCAGTAAGGTTCTGGATTTCGCGAAATTCACAGAATAAACGGTCGAGATCCTATACAGCTATATATTTTTATGGTGATGGTTTGAAAATGTTGAGACGTGGATGTTACAGAGGAATGAGTTGACTGAGACATTGGTAGCTTAGAAAGGTTGTAAAGCCAAAAGCCATCCCAGAATAGATTGCATTTGGARATTCAGGAGAGTTTTGTTCTAGTAGCATCCAGATGCATTTTCCAATTGAATTCTAATTTTGGTTTTAACTTAATAGCTGAGGTTTTTTTTTTTCTTAATTACTGAAGGCTTTGTGTATTCCTATATTTCTAGACTTAAAGATGGAATATTTTTTAAGTTTTTGGGAACTGGATATTAAGGAGTACATAAAGTTATTGATGTACTGGCTTCTAAAGAACCTGTGTATTTGCCACAGAAAGTGATTAGAATATTTTAAATTTGGAATCATGTCTTCAAATACTGCATCAGGTGGTTTTGGGAGCAAATTGTTTCCCAAGGACTGTCTGTGCACTTAAAAATAACTTGCTGTGCATTTTGCCAGACGGGTTCTTGCTTCAGTACAGATTTTAGTTCACTTGTATTCCAGCAACTCAGCATTGTTTCCATTTGATCCAGGCTGTGTATTTTAAACGGTGTTGCAAGCAAGTGGTAATGTCACCGCCTGGCTATGTCCATGTGCGTCTCCAATGACAGTGGTCCAGCTTCTTCCTTGTATTGCTTTGTGTGAGAGGCAAGTATTTCACTTGCCATCGTTTATAAACTGATAGGTGCTGAGTCCTGGATCCCACAGGAGTGGATGTGTATGGCCCCATTTTGTGGTGCTTTGTGGTAACTTGCAGGACCATGAGAGATACACAAAAAGCTTTCAGTTTACTCGGGGTTTTGGTTCAGTGAGAAGCAGGCATACCACTAGAAATTCCTTACAGAAGATACAGTAGTCCCAGTCATCAGTGTTGCACAAGATGACATTTTCATTTTTTCCCAGTGAAGAATAGAAATGAGCTGTATTTATGGATATAAGTGTAGTGCTCATCACCAAGATAATGGTAAAGGAAGAAAGAAGGTGTGTGTCTGATTACTGTATGTTGAGATGAGAGATCATGAGAATGTGGGAGAGAAATCTACCTGAACAATATAATTTAGCAGCAGCCTTCATGTTGGCTGGCTGTGAGCTCTGGGTAGGGTGACAGTTCCCTCTGTTCCGGGTGTGTGGTCAGCATTGTGCAGAGTTCAGCCACGGGGCTGGTGATGTTAGGGAAAGTTGATTTCTTGCTGATAACTACAGGTGGAATTACTTAGACTTTCTGCTAAGAGTAGTTAAGTTTCTTAATGGCTGCTGATGCAAGGAATTGAAAGTAGGCTCTTGAAGTGTGAGTTTTCCATCTTCTTGTCTCTGCCATGTTCATGGAAGTGGGGTGTGAGCTTGAGTTCTCTACTTTCCTGCTGAGGGACAGCACTTGCTTGTCCCATCCTTCTAGTACTGACTGTCAGAAACCTCACTGGGTTATGCTTTGTTCGGACAGTTTAAGTAGTTYTGTGGATGTAATCACACCAAAAGGCTTTTTTGCATGAATAGATTAAGGACAGTGTCAAATGCAGCTATTGTTCGAAAGGACAAAGACCSTACTAGGTATGAACTGTTGTTCTTCACCTCATTGAACTGTAGCTAGAGCTAGTTAAAATATACAATTTAAAAAGTTTGAGAGCTTTTCCCTGATGACAATTTGGTTGGATGATCTCTCTGACAAGTATTTCTTGATCTGCTGGGGCTTTGTATAATGCAGACTGGTGCCTAGTAAGAAGAAGCCTAAGGGCTCTCTTGTGTTTCACTATTGATACCTGAAGAAYGTAACAGGTTTTTACCAACTTGATAATTAAGTGTGGCCATTTGTGCATCCTGGTTACTTTCTTGGTGTGTCTTTCACTGAGCCTGGTTACCTGGGTGATGGCATTGGTGGGARCTGGGCAAAAACATCTTCGAAGTCTAGGAGTAATTTGTAACCATGAATAATACATAATACTTTCACAGATGATTTGATATGATCAACCTCTGAGTGGCAGTTAAATTATTCTAGGCTTAGTACGTGCTGTATATTGAATGCTACATCAGTTGAGTGACCGATTGTGTGTGCTTTGCTTCAGCATTTGAAAAGTGCAAGTTCTAAAGAAGTGGTCAAAATATACCCAGTCCAGTCACTGTTACATGCCAGCAGTGTTTGTCCTGTTRGTACTGAACTGTTTATTGGTAGAGGAGAAAGGAAGCTCTTTRTTACCAGGTGAGGGATTTTCCACTGGTCATTTTGAATGAAAGGATGCTGGTTTAGAGTTTCTTTTCCATACATTGTGAGGGTAGAGGGAAWTGGTCTTGTCTCTTCTGTGTATAAATGCTCTTTATCTATCATAGGAGCTGGGGGTGTGGTACATTGCTTAGGAAGACAGGATGACAGTCTAAAATTGCACAAAGGAATGAGTTGAATTTTTGGATAGAGTTTGCTTTGGTTATTGCAGAAGGTATCTAGTGCAGRTGGAGGCAGAGGTGTCAGAGTCACTCCCCTGAAAACACTACTCCATAATCAAGTGAGTTTRACTATGGCRTCCAGTTTTCTGAGAGAGAAGACARWTTGGTCATATATACTGTGTAGAGTGTTCAGGGCTCTTGAATTGCTAGTAAAAATACCTTTGAATGGACAGTGCTGCTAGCCAGTATATTTTAAACTAAGGGAAGGGCTGGTACTGGCAAAAGGCATCCAAGAAACCTTGATTCAAGCTTTGTCTCCTGCACTTTTTAATCTGTAACGATGATATTGGTTACATTTGCTTTTTGATTTTCCACCAGTGCTAATTTTCATAGTGTTAATATGTTTCTGGGCCATACTGTTCCCTAGTATGTACCTTGATTCATAGTGTATCTTTCTAAGTTCTTTTCCTGTTGCAGAATTTTCACTTCCTTGAACACCTGATCTTTCAAGTTAAATGTTCTGTAACCAAACATACCCACCTCAGCTGTGTGAGTTGCTCAAAGTGTTAAATGCTTTAATTCTGACAACACTGGTATATTACCAGTGAAGCTTTCTTTTGGGTCCAGAAAGCCTCTGCAATGAAAGTTCAGTTCCTCTGATGCACAGAACTTACATGTTTTATGGTTCTCACTCCTGTGTTATAAGCAGAGTTGTCTGCCCAACTTCTTTTTCAGACAAAGCCACATGTTCCCTTCTACCTCTTCTCCTGTTCTAACTCCTGAGAAGTTACCTTTCTTAGCTGATTATTTATGAYCAGAAGTGAATGTTTTTAAACTGTTTCCAGCTGCATTTGCAGGGGCTTTTCTGTTAACCAGCTTTTGCATTCCCATATGCTTTTGCATTCCCATATCCATCATGTCTAACTATTTTTCAGACTAAGATGATTGTGAAAATTAACATTCCTGTCTGAACTTGCTGTAAATCAGCCAAGAAACCTGCCCCAGCRGAATTCCCAGGTAGTGAGAGTGTGGTGGGCTGTCTTGGGTAGGTTCTGTGTCTTTCCACCTCTGGCCCTGGCAGAAGAGGAATGTGCAGCGTTGGCAGTTTTGCCTCGCCCCTGGCTTGGCTTCTGGATTCTGTAGCAAGTGAACTCTACTGCTGATAGCATGAAGGCCCCCCAGTAGCTCTTCAAGGGTATGTGGGAGACCTGGGGATGGGTTAGGGCACATTTGCTGCTGCTTTGTTGAACATACCCAGGGATCAAGTCATTGATGGGGACATGTAGTTACACCTTCCATCTCTGAGGAGTTTAAAGGGTGGAGTACAAAGCCTTTTGTAACATTTTAATAATCGTGTTTTAGATTATTCTGGAACCCTTCTAAAAAAATCTTTTCACTCCCAGTGTTCTGATTTTTTGGGTGGTTTTTGTTAGGTTGACAATCTAAAATGAAAATTGTCTCTTTCCACAGAAGGCATTTCTAGTGTCAACCTCAGCCTTCTCAACTAGCCTGAATTATAGTTAGAACATATCGGTGTGCATATGAAAATTTAGTCTTGTATGTGCCAGTGATTACAGCATCAGCAGATTTTGGTTTTTTGGGTTTTTTTTCCAATTCTGGTAAATTCTGTAAAAATTGAGTTGTGCTGGTAGTGAGGTGTTTGGTTTTGGTTTTTTGCTTTTTAATTGCAACATTAGTTGTGATCAAGCAGGAGTGAAAGATACTTGTGTTGTTTTGGGCATAGCTTAAGCTAATAACAGTAAGCACTCCCTAGTCAGAGCAAGTTCCTGCTTGAGTTCTGCCAGTTTAAGGYTGAAGATGAGGCTGCAAGACTGATGTCCTCGTCCAAATCTATCAGTGCTGTGGCTGTTGCCTCCTCAGATGCGATGACAGTGCTGCTCTGTGATTGCTTCCAAGCCATTTTCAGTTACTCACCTGGGTTGCCTTGCCCAGCRCAAAACCCAAACCTGTCTGTGTCTGGCAGGAGTTCACAAGGCCTTGTACAACAGATCTGTGTGAGGGGAATCAGGGGAGCAGGGAT